CACTGAAAAGAGGTGGCATCCTCGGAGTCTTGTCATAGGTTTTAGGAAGAGTGAGTATGGCTTGGTATTTTCAAGTCAAGGAACAACTAAACAATAGTCGGACTCCCTGAAGCTGGTATATGTTTTCATGAGACCCTCAAAGGGTTGGGAGAATTGTCTCTTATAATATTGAGACATCAGATTTTGTCTGAAAGGCAGCAGCAAAATCCATTCTAGTGGACCAACAACAACCAACAATATGTCCCCCTTCTTGGATACAAGTCACTGCTCCCTCCTCCCCTACCACCATGCATTTCCCCTGTCTTCGTGTTCTCCTTTTGAAGGGCAGTTAGAACTCCGAGCTCATTTGGAGAAGCGTGTGTTGGTGTGTGCACTCCCTTTTCTTCCGCCTGCAGTCTTCTTTCCCTGGGAGAGATCTCTCTGGTGGGGCCGATTTCCACTCTTTTTCTGATGCAAAGCTCTTCAACGAAATTCCCAGGTGTGCTTCTGCTTGAGTCGATTACGTACAACAAAGGCTTTGTCAAGAGCTGATCCTACAAAGGAGAAATTTTAATTAACACAGCTTCAGGCTGTGTTTTGTTCACTGACAAGCCAAGTTCCCAGAATTTTTTTTTCCAAAACTATATTAACTGTTTGTTCAATACGTGTTTGTGACTGCAGCGGACTCTGTACTTTCTTTGGTTGGCTTTTGTCTTACAGACAGACTTCCATAACAAATCCTATTGGGCATCAATGTAATATTATATTTATTTATTTTAACTAGGCAATTTTCTCACAAATTTAAAAATGCCAAAGATAAAAAACTGTGTCCCATGGAGACTTTCTTCTCTAACTCAGTGTCAGCAATCAGAGTTGTATGACTCTTTCCTCTGAGTCAGAGTTGCTGTTTTCTTGCACACTAGCCTGGATACTTGATTTGTGAGTACATGTGTTCAATGCCTGCTATGTGTCGTTGCATTTTAAAACAATTTAGAGAGAATTCTGTAGAAACTCACTAAAACCCTGTTTCTTATTTGCATCATTCCATTGTTTAATATTTCTCTTATTGAATAATTAGATTATTTGTGATTTTTTTTTTACTTTAATCAAACCTATGTCTTGTCTACAAGTCATTTTGCACACATTCAAATATTTCTGTAAAATTGCCTACCAGGAGAGCTGCTCAAAACAAAACAAAACTCTACCCTTCTTTTCTGAAAATCGGTCTTCTGAGTGCTTCTTCCCATGTTAGCATCTTATCACTTCCTTTCCCACATCATGACCTTGCCCTTGTCTTTAACACTTCCTTTATCTCACTCAAGGGTGGTAAAGTGGTTTTGCTACTTCCCTGAGAAGTCTCCTTTCTCATCTCTATTGTCTTGCTAGTTTTCCTTCGCTAGTGGATAGAAATTTATGTCTGCTAGCCTTGGATGTTGGCTCAGATTAAAGAATTAAGTATTAGTATTGAGAACAAATTAGCTCTGAGCATGTGTGAGATATGCTCGGTGCAGCCTCATTTATATGATGGGTTTGGTTATTTCTGTCTGGCATCTGGCTTTGAGTGATTCCTGAGCTAGTCACATTCCCGACTGCAGGGAAGGTCCTCTGGCTTCCTGCTGGGTGGAAATGAATCTGAGTCCAGGAGAAAAGCCCAGACAATGTGCCATCTTCACATTGCCCTTTGGACTTGCAGTGGCCTCAGCTTCCCTGGTCTGTAACTTCATTTCCCCTCCCACAGAGAAGCAGGCTAGTCTGTCTGCAGGGGTGAGGAAGAATCCCTTTATGTGGGGTCGGGGGAGACATGTATGGCAGTCTGTTTCTTCAGTAGACTTCCAGGTGATCCCTTTGTTGGTCCCCTGCTCATCCTGGTTTACATTGCTGCATCCTGCAATCAATTCTGAGCACTTGGGGGTTTGCTCTGTGGTTACTATTCCGTATTATCACTGCCACTACTGGGCTTAGCCTTCTAAGATGCAGATACTTCCACCAGCTGTGGCAATATCAGTGCCAGCTGCTGCCCTGCTATTTACTTTCCTTGTTTCTCTGGCCACTCTCCTTAGAGTGAAGTGTTAAAGATGTCCATAATGGGCAGGGGCAAGCACCCATCTTCCCCCAGAACTGGAGATCTTCATACCATATGTATTTTAAAGGTAACCTTTAGTAACCCTCAGTGGCTGAGAGGAGACTCTAGGAAGTACCTGGTGCAACCCCCTCTCCTTTCCCTGCCACAGAGGCAGAACGGTTCCTGTAAAGTGTCCATCTGTGTGACTCTACTCAATTTCTTTCCCTCTCCTGGGGAGAGTTTGTGTTTTTACCAGTGTGAACTACTGGTTTTAGTTTAGTCCGTCTCTCTGGGGAAGGCGCCTGTGGTCTATTCGCTGGTGCTCCTGTCCCACCTCTTCCTTTGTTTCTGCTAAGTCTCTACTGCTTCTGCCCCTTCAGGATGTGTGGTATGCTCAGCTCAGTAATCAGAAAGTTCTTGACCTTTCCACTGCTCTGGGGGAACTTCTAAGGGAACTCCAGCTCAAACACTTCCATTTGCAAAATACCAATGTCTTAGACAGATTCTACTTGTGATCACGTGTGATTTGTGAGAGAACTGTACCCTTTCAATGTTGAGCCCAATCTATCTTCAGGCATATATTATGTGATATATTGATATATATGATATATTTGAGGCAGGGTCTCACTATGTAGCTCTGGCTGTCCTGGAACTCACTGTGTAGACCAGGCTGACCTTGAACTCACATAGATTCATCTTCTTCTCTCAAGTGTTGGGATTAAAGGTTTGCACCACCATGCCTGGCTAAAAATATTTGTCAGTTAAGTTTTTAAGTTAAGGATCTTTATTCCATACTTGTTGCAACTGTAAGTAAATATTCTGACTTTTTCTGTTAATTTTGCTAATTAGTTGGTGGTAATTATGGGAAGACTAATGATTTTTAGGTGTAGAATTATACATAACTTATTTTTTTCTCATTTTTGAGCCACACAATAACCTGATTTAGCATAACTTTAAAGTTAAACTAATTTTCCATATTTCTTATAGAAATGTAGAAAGTACAAAGAAATTTAGGGAAGTGATATTTAATGCCACTACATAGAACAGATTACACTGTTAATATCTTGGCATATTTTCTTCAAACCTTGAGAAATTCTTAAAACCATTACTACTTTTTTATATTATAATGTCATAAATAATCAAGTATTGTGGCACATACCTTTAATACTAGCACTGGGGAGCCAGAGGCAGGTGGAACTCTATAAGTTTGAGGCCAGCCTGGTCTTTAAAGTGAGTCCCAAGACTGCCAGAGCTGTTGCACAGAGAGACCCTGTTTCAATAAAATAAAATAAAATAAAATGTCATAAATATCCCATTGACTAAATATTATTTTACCATATATCATAGTTTTTAGTTACTTCTGAATTTTTATCATATTTTGTGTGTGTGTGTGTGTGTGTGTGTGTGTGTGTGTGTGTGTGTGTGTGTGTGTGTCACAGCACACATATGGTGGGCAGAGGATCACGTGCCAGAATCTTTCTCTCCTAACGTGTGTGATCTGGGGATAGAACTCAGGTTGTCAGCCTTGGTTGTTAGCCTCTTTACCCTCTGAGCCGTCTCGCCGCCCCTCAGTTACTTCTCTCTGTTGGACGCTTCCATTGCCTCCGCTATTCTTCATTTACTAAGTGTTTTAAGATAAGAAGTTCCATAAGGGCCAGTGAGATGGTTCAGCCGGTAAAAGCCTGAAGACTGCAGGCCTGAGTTCAAGCCCTGGGATGATGTGGTGGAGAGAGAGAACTGACTTCTGCAAGTTGTCCTCTGACCTCCACACAGGTGCTGCAGTGGCGGGGTTGGGGGGCCGGGGAGACATAGGTGTGCACCCTCTGCCCCCCAGGTAAATGTAATTAAAATGTGTTTTAAAAACATACTGGAAGCTTTCATGTCTGAAAATAATAACGAATCTTCCTTGGCCTTAGTTTGCCATTAATGAAACTAATGGCCATCCTTTTCCCACAAGGACTTTGTGTTCTTATTTGGTTTTGCTTTGAAATAGGTCTCACTATGTAGCCAAGACTGACTTTGATCTCAAGTTCCTCTTGCCTCAGTGGCCCTCATGGGGAGTGAGATTACAGGTGTGCACCACCACACCTGCAACTTTAAGGGTAATTATGAGGGTTAGATGTGAAGATGCAATAGAGTCCTTACCATGGTTCCTGGCACATGACGGATGCTCCAAGAAATGGCACCCACCATCAGTTTTAAACCACTAAGTGCTGCTCACATTCCCACAGTACATTTTCACCATCCATCAGCTTCTGCGCCTACTGGTGTCTCTATTTAAATAACAGGTAACTGAAATTCAGACAGATTATGCCCACTTGATCATTTTTACTGCCTACATACTTTTATGAAAAAAGCAAATCCTTAAGTGGTTATGATCTAGGGCCTTTACTGATTTTTAAGTTATCTTATTGTGTGGTGATGGTGTTTGAACCCAGAGCTTTGTGCATACTAGGTAAGTGATTGATCCCTAACCAACATCCTTAGCCCAGACCTAGAGAGTCAGATATGAGACAGGAGAATAGACCAGTTCCTGACAGGTCCCATTAATTTTTTCTAAAAAAGCTTGAAACTTATTTCTCAGTTACATGTAGAAAGTGTTAGAAGATAACCAACACTTTTTTTTTTTTTTTTTGGTTTTTCGAGACAGGGTTTCTCTGTGTAGTTTTGGTGCTTGTCCTGGATCTCGCTCTGTAGACCAGGCTGGCCTCGAACTCACAGAGATCCACCTGGCTCTGCCTCTCCAGTGCTGGGATTAAAGGCATGTGCCACTGCTGCCTGGCTCTTTTTTTTTTTTTTAATCTTTAAAGAGACTACACATTTATTCTAGACAAAGTCATATTTAAAGATGACAACACACTGGGCAAAGCCACAATGTCCTCAACATTATGTTAAATATATTTATATATGTATGTATTATAAGGTTGACTTTTATAAACCTGCTTCCAGATCCCAGCTTTCCCTGACAATGGCCTGGGCTGGCAACCAGACTCTCATCTCCCACTTTGTCCTCCTGGGCCTCTTCTCCCGCTCGCCGCTGCACCTCTTCCTCTTCTCCGTTATCATGGTCATGTTCCTGGTGGCCCTCTCTGGCAACGGGCTCATGATCCTCCTCATCCTCATGGACTCTCGCCTGCACAGCCCCATGTACTTCTTCCTCAGCTGGCTGTCGCTCATGGACCTCATGCTCATCTCCACCATTGTGCCACGGATGGCTGCTGACTTCCTCATGGGCCGTGGCTCCATCTCCTTCACAGGCTGCGGACTCCAGATCCTCTTCTTCCTCACCCTCCTGGGGGATGAGTGCTTCCTGCTGGCCTTCATGGCCTATGACCGCTATGTGGCCATTAGCAACCCCCTGAGGTATTCTGTAGTCATGAGCCGCCGTGTCTGCTGGCTCATGGTAGCAGGGTCTTGGCTCTTTGGCCTGGTGGATGGGCTCATCCAGGCTGTTTTTACACTCCGCTTCCCCTACTGTGGCTCCCAGGAGATTGACCACTTCTTCTGTGAGGTCCCTGCTGTGCTCAAGCTGGCCTGTGCTGACACCTCCCTCTACGAGACCATGATCTATGTCTGCTGTGTCCTCATGCTGCTCCTGCCCTTTTCTGTCATCTCTGCCTCCTACATCCGGATCCTGGTGGCAGTGCTCCGAATGCGCTCTGCAGAAGGCCGGCAGAAGGCCTTTGCCACCTGTTCCTCCCACATGATGGTGGTCTCCCTCTTCTACGGGGCTGCCATGATCACATACATGCGGCCACAGGCCTACCACTCCTCCAAGCAGGACAAAGTGGTCTCTGCCTTCTACACCATGATCACCCCCATGCTCAACCCTCTTATTTACAGTCTAAGGAACAAAGAAGTGACTGGGGCCCTGAGGAAACTCCTGGGAAAGTGTCCCTGTGGCGGTGGGGCTCCTGGTTGAAAACAGCACGGAGGATGTGAGCCATGGAACTTGAGAGCCTGGATCAGCCAACTACGGTTTGACTGGGGAGACACAAATGTAGCCTATTGAAAACACATGCACACATTTGTGTTTTCTTCATTCTTGAATATTTTTACTGGGTATAAAATTATATGTTCATAAGTTCCTTTTTAGTCTTCAAATGTCTTTCTATTAGCTTTTCTAGCTACTTCTGATCAGAAGTCACCTGTGTATTTTAATGAGATCCTACATTGTAAGGTTACTTTTGGTTATTTTTTTCCTCTAGATATCTTGTCTTCAATGACTTGAAAGTGGTATGGCACTAGTGTGGGCTTGTTTTTAACCAATGAACTTGAATTGCCCTGAGATTGTTGGATCTATAGGGAAGACTATAGATATAACTTTAAAAATAATGTATATAAATACCTGTCAGATTTGGGGGACTTTGTTGATGTGATCCTTGTTTTGTCGTTTTTATTGACAGGGTCTCACTATGTAGCCCTGGATGGCCTCAAACTATCAAGCCTCCTGTCTCAGCATCCTCTGTGCTGAGACTATAGCTCTACCAGGCCCACCTCCTCGCTCCTTTCTTAGACTCTTTGGACTGACATTCTGCAGCCACATATTCATCACAAATGTCCCATGAGATATGAGCTAACTTAACAATTTCAGACTATCCGGATACCCAAACGTGGGTATCCAATGCAGCCATAATTCTTTCATTCGTCTTCATGTGTTTTGGTTCTGCAATTTTTTATTAGCTCATTTTGCAGTTCGGGGCCAGCGCTCTATCCCACAGGCCAAATCTGGCCCCCTGGCTGTTTTGATCAAGCTCCACTAAGTCCCCTTCACGCTAAAACAAGAGTTGGGTTGTTGTGACAGAAATCATGTGGTCTACAAAATCCTGGACTATGAAGCAGCTCGTCCTTCACAGTAGAAGCTTATCTATCTCCATCGCATGTTGTTGACATTTTCTCTCCATTTCCAAGATGGCTCTGATTTCACACTATGATCCATCACTTCAGCCATTGTATTTCTCAAGTTTAGAGTCATTTTATTCTTAGAGCTTCCATTTCTCTTTCAAACACATTTGAAAATCTCCATATGTTCAATTATTCTCATAGTCTTCACATTCATTAAACAATTTCTGAGATTTAAAGTCATGATCTATTTCTAAACCCATGTGATCTCTGTTTGCCTGGATGGATGGCTTTTCTCTGAACAGGGTCATGTTTTCTTCACTTTTTGCATGTCCTACATTTTCTGGCTTTGTTGTGCACTTTGAATAAAAACATAATTGAAAACTAAACTAGACAATTTTGTTCTATTTTATTTTGAAAGAGAATGTCCTCCAAACTCCCTGTTAATAAGGCAACTTCCAGGTCCTATTTGGTTTAAAATGAGATAGCTACCCTTCATCACAAACCTTGATTTTTTTCTATTGCCATGCTCACTTAGGGTAGTTTTTTGATCATAGTAGGATTTGAGCTGCAAGAGGTTGGATTCCACTTCTAGCCATATGTGTTCATCTCTGTATGTACCTCCATTAGGGCACTGACTAAAATGTAATTGAGAAGACTTTCCCCATTTTTTAAAGCACCATTTCTTGTATCCTTTAGCAAAATATCTCTGCAGGGAATATTTAAATTTATCTAGAGACAAAGACAGGAAGATTGCCAAGTTGGAGGTCAGCCTGAGCTATGTAGTAAAGATCTTTTACCAAAAAAAAACCATTTTAACAAAAGATATTAAACTTGGGATTCTTCCATATTCCAACCTGTTATACCAGCCCATTAATAGTCTAATTGATCCTGAATTTGGTTTGAGAAATCGAGAGATAAGAGGATACTTTATAGGGGAATTAACACTCCTTCATAATATATTAAAAAGGAAAGCCAGTGAAAGAAATGAAGGAGTATCATTATATACAGCCAATGACTCTGTGGCTCGAGTGTCAATTCATCTGTGAAGGGATTTATCTCATGTTTACCCACTGCTTTACACCATCTGGCATATTCATTACGATTAGCCCATGATATAGAAGTTCGTGTTTCCAACCTAATTTATGAGGTCCGTTATCCCAGGGCCCCAAGGGGCAGGGTCGGCTCTATGGTGAGGAGGGAGGGCAGCTCAGCAAGGCCCTCATACTTCGACACATGGTTCTCATGGGCCCTTGTGGTAACACATGCAACAGATACCAACACAGACCCAGCTGCGGCAGGACCACAGACCTAGACATGGCGAGCAGCAGCAGCTGAAGTCTGGACCTTGTCACCATGGCCCTGGGTAGCAGCCCAGGCCTCTCAAATCAGAATAGGCCCAGCAACAGGGTGGTCCCTGGACTTCAACATGGCCCCAGGTGGCCACCCAGATCCCGGGCAGTCCCAGGGCCTTGGGTGCTAACAGGAGCCACAGACGTTGACGTAGACCGTAGCTAAGGTAGGGCCATGGACCCAGACATGGCATGGCCCCCAGCCACAGTTCGGGCACAGACGACACCATGACCATGGGTGGCAGCACAGGCCACTCAAGTTGGCATGACCACAGCGGTGGCAGGTCCCTTGGACTCCAACTTGGCCTCAGGTGGCAGCGGCCCAGAAGCCGGGTATCCTTGTGGCCTTTGGTGCCTCATGTGTTTTTTATGTGGAGATGAGGAAGGTGCATGCTCATGAGTGAGGGATCCAGTTTGGATTCCTAGCACCCACATGAAAAAAGAAAAACCAGGCATGGTGGCAAATGCAGAGTAATTTCTACCATCACAGGCTGGAAGGTAACAGTGTGTGCACTCTTACCTTCCTTCCACTCTACTCTGCACAGAGGAAAAGACAGGGTGTGTGTGTGTGTGTGTGTGTGTGTGTGTGTGTGTGTGTTTGCATGCTCACCTGGTTCCAGAGAGAGCAAGGGGAAGGATGAGGTAAAGGCATGGGTAGAGAGAAAGACTTTGGGGTTTTAAGGTGCCAGACTTAGCAGTTTAGCACTGAGCACTCCACAGAGGCAGAGAGGAAGCCAAAGCCCCACTATCCCTGTGGGAGTCGGAGACATCCACTGACGTTTGGCTAGGCCTCAGCAACCCTCTACTGGGCTTGGCCACTCCCACCTCCTTGCTTCAGTTTTGGCTCTAGATTCACAGTCTGGGGCCCATCTCTCTAAACCTCTAGGAACCTTGTGTCTCTCAAACTCCAACTTCTACTTCCCCCAAATGTGGCCCATTCACCATGGTGTCCTCGGGTTAGGAGAAAGTGGGTAGAAGCATTCACTGGTCCAGCTATTTTCCAAGAGAAGCTAAGTAATAATATAAGGTTAAGTTAAGATCTTGGGTACCTAGGCGCCTCTTAAGTAGTACCCAAGGATGGGCAGGCACAGGTGTGGCCCCTGGGTGCAGGTCAAGCGCCCCAGAGACAGAGCCTCTGCTGCTCAGGGTCTTGGGATGGTTGTCTCTGTAGGCTCTCTGCCAGTGTTTCAAAGGACAGCATTGTTGGGAGACCACAGGGGTCGTAGGTCTCAGGCTTGCCATAATGTGGGTGAGCTCTCTGACTTGAGAGGTGCCCTGTCTTTAGGTATAAGACACTAAGTTTATGAATAACCCCAGGGCCTTTTAAAAGTGAGATTTAAGAGCTTGGAGAGAGATAGCTCAGTGGTTAAATGCTTAAGGCTGAGAAATCAAGACATCCAAAATGAGATTTAAAAATTTCAGATGCTGAGAGAATGGAAGAAGTGAAGATAACTTTGAGGAGGGAGGACAGGTCTCACCTGAAGGCTACTAGGAGAAAGGACAGAGTGAGTCACTTAGGAGACAGGAGTGTCAGGACGGGAATGCGCCTAACTTCTCTATCAGCAGCTGGATCAGTGACTGGGGTTTCCGGAGATAGGCTGTTTGAAGGAGATGATCCATACCTGAGGCTGAAGGAGAGAAAACAATATGGTGGTCTATTCATTTCCTTATGAGAGGAACTTTTCATAAAGGCTATCTGTGATATACTAGGCAGGCTTACGTATGAGGAAGAAATGTGACTAAGACAAAAACATGGATAAAAAATTAAATCCAAGTCATTTAATTATATCCAGATCACAGAAACAGATTAAGAAATTCAATTTTGGTCACCTCAATAGTTGTCCAGGGTTTTTCTTTAGGAAGGCAGAGTGAGGTCTGTGTATAGTTCCTGGTAGGCAATCTGGAGTCTGATATAACAAGACTCTAGTCTGGCCTAGCAGATGAAAATCAGGACCTGAAACCTTTCTCTGTCTTTACCTCTATTGAAGGGAGCAGGCAAAAGCACTTTGGCCTGAGCACTGCCATTGTGACTTCAGACTCCATTTTACCTGTAGGGTGAAATAAAGTTCAGGTTCCCAAGCCCTAGGGGAGCTGAGAACTTTCCAATGGCTGATCAGCCTCCTCCCAAAAACCAGAGAAATGGTCGTTATGGGTCTTTAGTTCTCTAGAAACATTATGGCTGTTCCTAACAACAGAAAGAACAAATGAATATGATTGGTTAGAATAGAAGGTGCGAGTTGTAGGACATTTGACAAGGATGGAACACACAAAGAAAGTTCGTAATCTTTGATTCCTGATTGGTGAAAATTGTTAACTGTAACTTGGCAACAAATGTTTGTGATTTTTGTGCTTATAAACCCCACTCCTGCCCCTGCTTGGGGCTGTCAGGAGAAACAAGGCTCCCGAGTCCTTGTCCTGCAGCCCTGGCTGATCAATGACCCGTTTATGTGGTGACTTTATTAAAATCTTTGGAACTCGTAAGTGCTGTCTCTCTCCTTCCTTGTGGTGTACCGACTGGGTGTAACACTGTAACCGTTCCCTCTCTTTTGTCCTGACTCATTCCCAGGGGCAACAACAGAGTTTCGGAAAGCTAAACAGAAGACAGTGAAAACTTAGTTGATACTCACTCGTTACACTATTCAGTTTGGGCCAAACCCTCACATGTTGTCTCAGGCAACCGACAAATTTACTCGGTTAATGTGTGTGTGCATCCTGTGAAGGATGTAGA